TAGTGCAGCATGGCACTAAGTTTCGGAAGGAAAGACCGGGCTCAAGATTTCCAAGACAATATCCACTATCATCAGTCTCTATTTTCTAGGTAAACTGACTCATATTGAAGAAACATGAACTAAACATTAGGTACAGCATAATTAGTTGGTCACAGGAGTAAGGATAATTCAAGAATCTATAGGACTGATTTTACATTGAAAAGAGACATGATTTCGCATATCACAGAATTTAAAGAATGAGTGCACCAAAAGAGATGAGCCTTGTCAAAGTCATTACCATACATCAGGGGAAGCGGACTATACGATTTAGGAGAACTAATAGCAATCGTCAGATCAAAATCTGGATTACTGGCTGATACTGATTATGAATCGCGGCCAAGAAGAACATCAAGAAGAAGAATTTAGATCCGCACACTAATAAGGGAGCAAGACTGACGTGTGGTTTCTTTTCAAGACCAGCCCAACAATAGCATTTCTTGTGGATTAGCAGACTTATTATATTAGAAAAACGTATAGGAGCAAACCTAATTATGGGATATACGATTAAAGTGGCAGCCCAACAACCCTGATATCCAATACAAAAAAGTGTTCGATTGTGTGCATACAAACATTAAATAGAAACATCTAGCTATAAAAAGAAGGCTCCGAGACCCCTAGCATAAGACAAAATTTAAACACTAAGAAGATACAAGAAAACTACATCCCTAAAGATTACTGACTGGTACCTAACTATGCGCACCCCTGTACAATACCGGAGACATCAAGGCCTTATTGAATTTGCGAATATTTTCTGCAACAAGACAGAATACTAATATCAGTAAATTATTTGGTTGGCTCATTCAATAAGAAATAAAACTACGCAACACCATTGTGATGGTTTACACTTATATACATTCGATAACTTGATGCCTCAAAAATTACTAAACTTTAACAGTAGGTTGTGCCACGTAAAGCTTCTGAATTGTGAAGGTGATCACCAAAAAATTACCTTGGATGACTTCTCATCTGATATCCAGCGAATTATATGCCTAATAATTGGTGCTGAGGAATCTAAAAATTCATCTACCAATGGGCCACATTAAAGAAGAATTCTCATGATAATATAACGTCTCTAAAAGTTGCTCTGATAGTTCTGCCGTTATAATGAATCTATCCATTGATTAATGTATTTGGTCTCGAGCGAGAAATAGTTCGGAAAATCAACCATGGCGCATGTTAGAACCACTAATGAGGAAAAGAGAGTAAATGAAATAAGGCGCTTTGTGTCCTGAGATACCCTACGCACTGTTGGCCTATTTTACGCAGAAAATGGAATTGACAATAGAAAGCGCTAATGAAAGAACAAGACGCGTAAGACAGAAGTTAAAAGTGGTATTATTCGTTCCAGTACGCTCTTATCTATAGAATAATTCCTCTTCAAAGAGCTCAAGGACACAAATTAGCCTGGACCTTTTCGACAGTAAAGAATGGAACCCAACTGTACAGGGCAGACATTAGTAAAACAGTTAAGGAAACTGTGAGAGATGATAATTCCAACGGTCAGTTTCTGAGGGATAATGCATCGAGGTTGTTCTTAACACACTGATTAGAATTAAGACACACAAAATTGTTCACAACGCCGCTTACTCTACATTGAAACAGGACGCGGATGCTCGATAACTGTAGTGTTATAACGTAAATCCTCTGCTTCAATAGAAACATTCTGTTTGTTTGCCCTGACATATGAAAGCTGCAAGAAATAAGTACAAACTAAGTTCTCTTAAAGATCTCAATAACAAAGAACAGTGTATTAAATTCATTTGCTTTGTAAAGGAAATTGAAATGTTATAACAATATATAGCCATATATGTAAAATTCTAAGTTACTGTGTTATTTTGTACTGATTGTTGGTGTTTATTAAGGTAGTCGCTAATAACTCTATGTAGTTGATGCGACTGTAAATAAATCAAATCAAATCAAACGTTCATCTTTAGAGCATAGAGTGGTGCTACAGAATGGCACAGACTTCCCGCATACACTTGCCAGCTGCCATCTATCATCAAAGTACATTTTCTTATTTTTTCAGTTTCCTAATAGTAGAACGAAAATATTATTTAATAATATTACAGAACAGTAACACCTCGTCCTAAATGGAAATTTCCATTGAAATTTTTTTTAAGACAGCGATGTTTAAGCGTTACTGTAAATTCGAAATTTGAAGCTAGTTTTCTCAAAAATGTTTTGAATTTTCAAAAACTTCATTGGAAGTAATTTAAAGCGCTTGAAGCCGTAAGCAGAACAGTGTTTACAAATTGCTCGAAATGTGCAAATTTATGTAATTAAAAAAACACCAAAATAAAATTTACATCATATTAAAGAGTGCAATAAGATCTATCCGTTAGAAACGTTTGAAAAAAAAATTGGAACCGCTTTTGAGAAAATGGTGTTTGAACGATTCTGAAAATGCGGAATTTTGAGCAAGTTTTCATAGAAAACTGTTGAGTTGAAGATAAGTTTTATACAACATTGTTCAAAGCACATGAACCCGTAAATATAACAATGTTAACAAATTGACGCTAATATAAATATTAAGGACGTGAGAGACAAGTAAAGACAATTACATTTTTGTTTTAATAATAATTTTAAAAACCAACAAACGAATAGAGCAATATGGCGTTAATATCATCTTATAGAGTGAATTTAGCACTATCCCTACGAAAACATTTAAAGATATAGTTTGAAACCGCTTTTGAGAAAATGTTTTCTAAATAGCACATATTGCTCGCAATTTTGCGCGGAAACTACAACTATATTTTCAAAAAAATTTAAATTATGTTAATAAAAGAAGCAATTATAAACAACGAAATTAAGTCCGATTTTTATAGTTAACTCTGAATTTTCGATAATTGCAAAATTTTAATTTTTTTCGGCGACTTTCTACAACTATAAAATTAGAAATAGAGATTTTTTGTTGAAATTATATTTGTTGGCCATAATTCCTACTTTCATTAAATTCATTCATTTTTATTAATGTTAATAGTTTTCGCGTGGGAAATATGTGGTATATAAAAATAAAATACAGAAACAAGGTTTTCTCAAAGAACGGATCGAAACTATTTCTTTAAACATTTGGTAGGAATAGTGCTAAATGTACTCTATGAGACGACATTAGAATTGCAATATTTATATTGCTCTATCTTTTTCTTTTCTCAAAAATTACAAAGATGTACTTTTTGGACTTGTCTATTACGTCGTTAATATTTATACTAGTGGCAATTTATTCACATTAATGTATTTATAAGTACATGCCTTTTAAAAAATGTCATTTAAAGTTTTTCGATAACCAACCGTAATCTGTGAAAACTAGCTCAAAATTCCTTTTTCAGAAACGCTCAAACGCCAATTTTTCAAAAACGGCTTACAATTTTTTTCTTCAAATTTTTTGAAGGGTTAGTGCTAATAGTTCACTATAATGTGACAAAGTTCAGTTTGGGGTATTTTTTTTATTACACAAATGTAATTTTTTGAAATATCTCTCACGCCATTGTATTTATGAGGTAAAGTACTTCCAAAGATTTCAAATAATGTTTTTCGAATTTTCAAAACTTTTCAGTGAAAAAGAGCTTGAAGTTTCGAATTTACAGTAGCACTCAAAAGCCATTTTTTAAAAAAACGGCACCAAATTTTCAAAATAATTTTTCCCGAATAATTAAGACAATGTGGACGGTGATAGATGAGCGCTCGCCCGAGTAAGCGGCAAGTCCGAATAGCCAGCCAAATAACAAAAACCTAATACTGGAAAATTTGTGCCATTCTGTAGCGCCACTAGTTCGTTATCAGGGTCCGGCAACGAATTTTGTTGTGACGAAAATCCGCGCATCAGAACGCTCTCGATACTTCAAAATGAACATCGCACCAAACGCATGATAAATGAGAGAGTTTCGAAAAGTGACACCAGGAGCGCGGTAGTCAAACTGGATGAAATCTGTACTGAAAAATGAAGCATCGTCATTTTTTCGTACAAATTACTTCCAGTCCGGAGTGTCTTATCTGTACCGGCGAAAATAATGACATAACGATAGTGTAAAAATGGCTTAAGAGGCGTTGCGCAAAGAACGAAATATTTTTGTAAATATGCAGGGATCAGAAGGAGTAAAGATTTTCAGTGAAACTATTCTGAGGAATCCTACTCCGTAGTAGGATATCCTGAATCAAATGTAAACTAAAAATGTATTTAAAATGACACTCAGGCATTAATAGGCCCGACATGAGATGACTACAATTCTTCAATGTTTAGGTTTTGGCATGAAATTGGGATCCAGTAAGAAGATATTTTCACATTTAAACAAAGATTTAGAAGTGCGATATTTTGACACTGTTTCAAGTAGCAAGAATATTAGAAACAAGTGTTCAAATAATCCACTATTGAGAATAATGGTCGTTTTCATAATGAAAAGGAAAAGTGTTTACGCTAGTGTTCTAGTAAGCGGCGGCCTCCCCAGCAAACGTAGATACGTCCAACCCTGCCACGGCCAGAACAAGCCCTACCAGTGGCCTCTAAGTGCCCTGACTACGTGGAAAAGTTGGCAACAGTGAAGCAAAGTGTAAACTAGTTGTGATAAGCGGCAATAGCAGGAGTCTTTCGGGAGATTAAAAGACGGAGAGGGGAGGATGTAAATTACAAATAATAACAAAAAGTAAGCAACACTAGGTTCAAAATATCCTAAATTTTAGCTAAACCATGGGCAAACAAACGTAAATATTATGTGCAAAATAAATTATATGCATCATCTTTCGCAGGATAAATTGTGAAATTTAAACTTACATTACACCACCTTAGAATACTTACGAATTGAATAAAACGTTGCCACAATTGAAGATATTCATTTACTTCAGCATAATTCATTTACTTCAGAACTGGATCGGTTAACCAACGCGACGTAACGGCCTCGACTGATAGTTCTCTAATTTCGAATTGCAATAAGGTGTTTTTCACTGTTTCGCCATTACTCTCGTTGCAGAAGAGCGCCCCGCAGCGCACGCCGCCCCAGATGGCGCCACTGCCTCCAACGGCGAGATCCGCATCGTGAACGGCCAGACGGCCGCCAACGTCAGCGACTTCCCGTACCAAGTGGCGATCACCACCAGCAACGACTCCTTCTGCGGCGGCTCGCTCGTCTCCTCTCGCTGGGTGCTCACCGCCGCTCACTGCATCTACTCCGGGTGAGCGCCGTCGCCAGCGAGCGCTTTTTCTTTGCAGTCAACACACACGTAGAACTGCGAAAGCTAGGTAACGCTGCGGGAAAAAGTTTGTGCGTGAAGAAGAACGAAAGTGTTTCTTCTTTCTTCCTTTCACTGGACAGTTACCTCCTATAATCTTCAGGTGAAACCAGCCAGTTAGGACCTTCGATGTCACAATCCGCTGATATATATTTCTAGGGATATCCATTCTGGTTTCCTAGAGAAGTTCTGCACTGGTTTGTACAACAATGCAAGTGAATTAATTTCAGACATTAAGCTCGTATTGAGTACTACTAAATAAACAATTGTCATGTAATTTGGCTGTTAATACAACTTGTGTTTTTATATTGATATTGTTGCCACAACCAACGTGCTGGTTTCACTTTCCTTCATTCCCGCGATTCAGCTTGTTTGAAGGGGCCTCCTTGACGCCCTGCATGCAGCCAAACTCATCCAATTTCTGCCAGCCGACTCCTCAAAGTCGCCCTCTCATCCTTTTCGCCGTCTTCCTGGACTACGCCATCCGATACTTGGTTCCCATTCGGTTGCAGCATTGACCACCTGTTACGCTGTTGCCTTATGACGGGACCTCCCCATTTCCACTTTTCAGTCAAGGCTTGTTCTCATACATCTTTTATCTTATTCTACTTCTTATTTCCATACATGTAACGTAGTCTTAGTTATGTTAAGAATTTTTCTCTCCATTTTTATCTGGTATCTAGATAATTGAAGTTTTTGTACTGCAGTTAACGACCAAGTCCGACTTCCATAGAGTATTGTGGATAAAATGCAAGAGTCTAATATATCTCTTTTGTTTTAGACCGAGTTTTTTGTACAATAGGATAAAAATCATTTTTCAAGCCTATTCCCATGCAAGAGTGAAACATCTACTAATTTCATTGTTGAGTTTGTTGTCAAAAGATACTAATTGACCTAGATATATATAATCCGAATCATAGTCTATCAGGTTTGTTTCCACCTTTGTTGGTATCTCCTTGCAGTTTGTCATGATTTTGGACTTATTTAGGTTTATATTAAGTCCCACCTTTCTGCTTTCTTCATTTAGTTCTAACATTTGGTGGGAGTTCGCTATATCATATGTGAACTTGAGGTTGTTTAACATTCGTCCGTTTATTTTGATGCCCATTTTCTCCCATTTTAGTTTTTTGAAAACATCTAACAGGCTGGTAAATATTATTGTTAATATTCAATCGACGTCCTTAACTCTTCTTTTTAATTTAAATTCTTCTATTATATCTGTCTTCTCTTTAGCTGAACTGCACTTGTATATTTTCTTTACGATTCCAACATATTTGATCGGAACGCCCTGATTTTGTAGTGCGTTGAGGTTTGGCTCGTGTTCTAATGTATCAAATGCTTTATAAAAGTCCACAAGGGCAATGGATAAATTTAGATTATATTCATGAACTTTTTCCAAAATTTGATTAATACTTTGAAGGTAGTCTATCGTGCTATACAGTAAAGTACATCAGTAAAACAAATCTATCGCAGCTCCTGAAACTACAGCCTTAATAAAACAACCCGTCCACTGAAAAGAAACAACTTCTTCCCGGTTCCACCAACACCCCAATAAAAGAACTCATCTTCTCCCTAAGCAAATTAACTAGTGCAATCCAAAATTCCATCCGATAACCAAATCCCCGTCCTCGCATTGGGGAGGGACACCAACAAGACTCGTAAAAGCCACCCCATCGAAAGGCCTTGAATGAAGAGCCAGAAACTTCTGGTAGACATTCAAAAACAACAAACGTAACAACCAAGAACCAACTTCGAGACCGATCTCGATAGCAAAAACGAAGGATGTAATAGGTCTATTGAAGTTTATACCACTTATTCATTACCACTATTATAAAAACTTGAAGTCTGCAAGAGGTATCCTTATTTGTTTATTTATTTATTTAAATTTATTTATTTATTTATTCATTCATTCATTCATTGATGCATGCATTCATCCCGTGCCTTTCTCAGCGCCACGTGGGTGAAGGTGTTCATTGGTGCGGTGTGCTGGGCGTCCGCGCCCGTGCGCCTGTTCGCAACGCGCGCCCTCCTGCACGGCGCCTTCGACGACTACTGGCTGTACAACGACATCGCGTTGCTCGACCTCGGAGGCGAGCTCGACCTCGGGCAACTCGCAGGTACGATCGCGCGTAGTGCACGTGAGTGTGAGGAAGGGGACCCTGGCCCCTAACACGCCACGGATATCTACCGAACAGAGCAGCCGACCTCTAAAATTCTCCTCCAGTCGGCGCCTGAATTCCACCCAGCTGACATGTGCCAATACAAAATCTGAAAGTGTAAGTTCATTCAGTGAGGGTTAATTTTTATATCTGAATCATTTGAACCTGAATCATACCTGAAATAAGTCTCGCCACGTAAAAGAAAGCAAATTCAATTCAATTCAATCATACTCACCAAAATTTGTTGCCAGAGTTTTAGTGCTCTGAAACCTTTTCTAGTTTGATTACTGCAACATTCATGAATGAAATGAACAGGACCGAACATTAATTTCAAAAGAACGTCAAGTAAAACGAGAAAGTAAAACCTCGAGCTCGTGGGTAAAGGCTCGCCCCCTGTTGATCCACGTGGCCATACAAGGTAGGGTTCTTCCGTTATCCCGTTTCCCCAGACGACCTTCGCGCAATCGTCATCGCTTTCATCCACTCATTATCTCATCACTTAACCCCAACAACCTCAGAAGGTGCAGAAACCTTCTACCCAAATACATTAATCTTTCACATATGAATCAGAATAAACATTATCTTTTCATAGTTTTTAATCTTTAGGAAATATAACAGTTTAATCGATGAGATATCCGTGTATTATGGAAAATACAAATTTACATGAACATTTTCCGCAAGCACGGTGGAGCATTTTGAGACAAAAGTTCCTTAGAATGTATTTGAAGTTGCATTATTTGGTTGTCTTATATTTTTATAATTTTGAAATCGTTTTTTTATTTCATTAACGTTAAAATCAGATAAAAGAACTGGGGCGACGTAGACAGAACTGTAATTGTGCAAGATTTCTTGAGCTCTGGGATGTCCTACCTCATATACATATTATACTCGAAAATAGGCGATCAGTAGCGAGGCTCTGCGCTTTGTCTCAAGCTTACAGCTTGAAAAGAAATTAATCGGTGGCCAAATATTCTTACATTCATCAGGGGGGGGGGCGATCACAGGCACAAAATAAATTTAAGACCGCAGGGAACAGATCTGGGGAAATTTTCTTTTACAAATCGAACAATAAAAGAATGGAATAGATTACCTGTAAAAACCTTTAATCACTTTCCTCGTAGCGTTGAAGTTTAGGAAATTAATTTAGGGCATTACTAAATTAATGAGGGACTTAAATGACAATAGTAGGTTATAGAGCAATGCGTGTAAGTATTATATTGTGAAGTGTCGTGCAGTGTAGAATAGAGAAATAATGTAGGAAGTGATTCATAGTGATAGTGAAGTGAAGTGCACCTAAACAAAATTCATTGCTGAGTTAGATTATAGAAATTTCTTTTTTTAAGGTTATTTAAATGTTGTATGAATTAGACAGTTTTTATATCATTATTTTTATTATTAATGTTATTTTTAATATTATTGTATTTACTATTTTTATCGTTGTTTTATCAGCTGTTTTTTTGTTTCCATGATCATTATTGTACCATTATTATTACTATTATTATTGTTACTATTTTTGTTATTATTATTATTGTATATTTTACATGTTATCTGTGTTATTTTATTTATGTAGTTAGCTGCCACAGTTTATGCACATTTGCAGTTCAAATAAATTTATCTTATATTCAATTAAGAATATAGATAGAAACGAGAGTATTGGCAAAAGTTGTATTCGCTCTCGGGTGATAAAAACTCCTAGCAAGGGAAATTCAGGTACAGATTTCGGTTATTATTCCTAGTGCTCTGTGAAATGGAATCGACTTACTGCCGAGAGAAAAAAAAATCGTTTATTTGTCTAACTACATTCCCCACAGAGCTCAAGAGAACGTACACAGATAGTGACGCTACATTGTATGTTCAGAAGACAAAACAATGATCTACCTCAGTGCTTGCTCAGCGGATCAGAGAAACCGGCCGAAAACGCCAATCGATTGGCGCGGTTTGCGTTGTGCCAGGCGTTCCCAGTCCCTCATCATCGCATCAGTACATGAATTCTTCCATAACTCCTTGTCCTGACTGATAAGAGGAAGCGGAAGGTATGTGCATTGTATTAGCGTGCAAAGGATGAACTCTTTTCTCTCCTATTAAATACAAAAACGTGAATGTTAAGTTTCAAATAGTTTTAGATTCATTCTGTTAATAGGAATTCTGGAATAAGTAATACATTTTGAAATATTAGTTGATAAATGAAATTAGTTTGAAATGAACGATCTTTTCTCCTAAAATGACTTCAAGGAGCAGCGAAACTGAGCTGTTCCAAGCGTGGCGCCAAATGTGAATTAATTTGGCGGTCAATTTACCAACAGGAAGTTGCTTAGCAACTTCGCGAAACGTCACATCAGGAATTCCCCAAACAAGTGTTATAGGACCACTCGTATTTCGTGCCTGCGTGAATAAATGCCGAAACATTTAGCTTCAAATGTACAATTCTCTGCATGTTACTGTAGGTTTATCAACTCGGAGAAGGTCGGGGATATTTTGCAGTGAGACAGACACATTACACATTGTGGAGAAGACAAACGGCATAGAATAAACAGTTTAAAGAGCACTTCCATCACGTTTGCTAGGAGTGGAAGTTACAACAAAACTGCGTACAGATTGAACAATAATGTTATACCTCGAGCCACGTCTTGCAAATATTTAGGAATACAGCTAGGAAATAAATTGAGCTGGGGAAATAAAGTCAATTTCGTTGATGGGAAGCCTGGAGATCTTTGCATTTTGTTATGCAGTATGAAAAAGAGTACAGAGAGAGAGAGAGAGCCAAATAACTAGCATCTATACCATTAGAGAGACCCATATTAGAATATGGCACGATATGTTAGTACCCATACAGATTTTTGCAGCAAAGGAATCTAGAAAAGGTCCAGCGTGTAGCATCAAAATTTACTTTCAGGGTTACCAAGAATAAAGGAATATGGGAGTCACACGAAAGGAGGAGGTTAAAGTCGCCTATCTATGCAAAGTATAAAGCGTACACAGGCCTTCGAGCGTGGAAAGAAATTGAAATTCAATTAAAAAAATCTACATATTTCGGCACAGCGGATCAAAATTCAGACAAGAATTCAGAAAACGGTTGTTGAGAAATATTTATTCGCGAATCGAACTATTAAATACTGGATCGGCTTGCCTGTATCAATCTTCGATCCATTTCCTCAAAGCCTGAGCGAATTTAAAAGTAAATTAGTTTCCTGAATGTTGATATATCTATTATAAATATCTTTAATATTATTCAGCGTAAGTAACTATGACTACTATGTAATTTACTATTATAATATTAATAATAATTATTATTAATAATAATAACTATGTGCAGTGCAGTTGCGTTGTGAAACTGAGGGAAACGAGTGTGTATGAAAGACATTACAGCTCAGTGATCCGCAGTGCGGTGAAGTGAAGTGTGGTGAGGTGGAGGACAAGATGGCACGGTGAAATGTTCACGTTAATTTGTAACGTTTTGAAGTTCTGTAATGTTAAGTTGTGATTTCAGCAACCAAGTTCTCAAACTTAATTGCAGAATTAGTAATAAATCTAATATCTAAAGCCTTCCACACAAAGGAAATTAGAAAACTTCACTACGAGAAAGTGTGTGCCATTTGTAGCACCACTAGTTTTACATTTAAGAATAGTGAGACGTAATTGAAATTTCTGAGGTTCCGGAGTTTTTTCTCATACCTTTTTCGTCTCATTGTACTGAAATACCAATAATTTTACGAACTTTTCTTAATTGTAAAATTTGTATAATCGAGTTTTTGATTAATTGAATACTTGCAATATTGAATGAAGTTTTTGTAGTAAAAACTAAGAAATTTCGTTTTCCTTCCCTTGTAACTATTTCTCTATTCCTTTTCTTTGTTGCTCATTCATTTCTGTTCTTTCTTTGTTGCATGTGTTGGTCCTCCCAGGAGTTGTGCAGACAGTGGATCTGGAGACAGTGGGCTGTAGGAACTCCGTGCTGGACGGTGAACAAGCTGTGGTCAGCGGGTGGGGTCACACTAGCGATAGTAAGTGTCCAAAAATTCAAGTGTAGTTCAATCATTAAAGCCATTCATGAATGTTTTTATACAGCAATTCAGTGGAGAACTGTGGCGAAATCTATGATACTACTTTGTAAATTTAATCAAAGCGTTTCGCAGGAACAAAAGTTACTTTGTTCGGAAATGTGTTTTAAGGAACCTTGTCGATGATGCTGATGAAGATGATGATGATATTGAAGCTTTTTTGTGCAAATATTATTTTCATTCGAACTTGTAGTCCTGAAATATGTTTGCGAAATGGATATTTTTCCACTTTAATGATCAATTATTCAATAAATACTGAAAAATGTGTACGGTGGTGCCACAGAGATGGATCAGCACTGTTTGACGATGGGTTCGTCGCTGTAACGCAGGTGAAAGGGAATCACTGCTTGTTGACGAAACGCAGAGAGGCAGGCCGGACCCCACAGCCACGCATTCCGCAGGTCTATGACATCATTCGTGGTGGCTGGAAGGTGACTGCAGATGAAGTGAGGGAGATAATGAGATACAATTTATTGGTCTAACTGTGCTGACATCCTCTGTTGCATCATAACACGTATTTTTCTGTCTCTCACGAATGCGAATGGCTATTTCATCTTCTGCATTCAAGAATTCAATCACACAACGATGTCTCATACGACCATGGATGCCGCCATTTTGTATGCGCCATCTGTGCTGCCACATGTTGACTCATTAAGATATTACTGCAAGGATTTTTGAAAGGTTTGAGAAATAGTGCCAAATTACAATTTTTCGTAACCCATTTTATTCGAGAATAACAAAATAGGAGGCTTTACGTTTTGACTGACCCTCGTATATCATTTTACACATTACCAAAAATAAAACGAATGTATGCCGTTTTTATTCTGCTTAATTGCGTATTTATGATATTTTTTCTTTAACTGCATAATTTTATTTGTCCGCATATTTAATTGCTTGTATTACAGGTTTTGTGAATCGGTTTTTCTGTGCAATGGTCGAAGTCAGATTATTCGTGTATTTCTCTTTCAAAAAAAGTTAATTAAACCATTCGAATACTTCAATACCAACATATTTCCGATAGTCTCCTGATGAGATTGTGTTTGCTTGAAGTGTTTTACTTCTTGTAACTTTCTTCTTACGCGTATACTTCGTGAACTGGGATGAGTGTTACGGAATCTTGTAACAATGCTATTAATTCTCTCGCTTAATAATTTTCTTGTTTATTATAATGTGTGACATTTTATTATTCCAGCACTACAAAGGACCTTTTTCGTTATTATAAATCTTTATAAAAGGGCATCTTTAGGCACAGATTATGACATGTTCGCTGTTATGGCACCAATAATTGCGTCATCACACATTCAGCTAATCGCAGGGACAGAACAGTGAAGAGGAAGCGGTAAACGGAACAGCTGACCACCGGTTTCTCGTACAGGTGTTAAATACTCGTGACGTCACTATAGTTGTTTGCCAAAATTAAGTTGGATTCTCTTATAAATTTAAAACGCAAACTTTAGTGGTGCCAGAACATTCATATTTCCACCCAAAATTACCCGTACTCAAATTTTCGAAAGCTTGAACAAGACCTTATATCAAAATCTTATTCATGCATTTCATTAAGATAAATATCTATCTTCATAATTGAAGCTGCACGAAAAGGAATATTTACAATTTTCGAAAAATCCGAGTTTTAAACGAAAGTGGAACTTTCTCTTAAATCAGAAAATCCTTCTCTTAAACGTCCTTCACACTATCCAATAACGAAGTTTATTAAAAAACGACGGACTTCATTTTTTTAATTTTGAAAATGTCTCAGGGGCTTCATTTCATGTACAGTACCCCCCAAAATTGAAATATCAGTTTGAAATTCAACGTGCTTCGATATCCACCATATTGATTGAGAAATATCAATTTTGGAGAAAGTAGGCTGAATGGTTTAGACACTAGCGTTGTTCATAGACGGACAGGCAGGGAAGGACACCGGACGGACGGACAGGAGCCACAAAACATGGATTCTGGCTACACCGCATGGATTTTTTCATTAAATTTAGCGCCTGAATTTATCCACTTTTTCGTTTCCAGGGCTCTGTAATAAGCGTTTTTCGCGCAGCACTGCACACCTTTCTGTCTACTGCGTAAGCGGAGCATGAAAGAGAAAATAGCGAATTTTCCTCGTTCACGATGTTGCTTTAAAGCATTCGGACACATTTGACACCTAGCTTCTATCCAGGGTCACCAATTTTCGTGGAGACGAAATAGCGACGCGTGGCCAGTTTTTTCACTTTTGTATAATTTCTGCTTTTTAATTTTCGGAGAAATAGATTTCTATAGTTAGACTATTTGGATCTACCAACTTTAGATTAGTCAATCATCTATGAACCATACTGTTGACAGGTCCTTCTGTCCCAAACGAGGACTGTCTGCGGTATGTGCACACAGAGACCGTAAGCAACTACGAGTGCTGCCTGCACTACGGCTACACCGACGCCGGGATGCTCTGCGCAATCAACTCCAGCGGCCTCAACGGAACCATTTGCCGCGTGAGTAGTCTCCTCTAGACTCGCAGAAATAGCAATGTCCTATTACTTGTGGCAGTGGGTTTTGTTTGCATTGGTGTAATAAGAAAACTATCCTACGTAGCTACGTCTTTGTTGTTTTTCAAGTCACATTGTAAGTACTTGTGTGAAAGATAAATGATATTGGAAAGGGATAGGGAGCAAGGAAAGAAGGAAGAGAGTAAGGTAGGATGAAATGGTGAGGGAGAGAGAAGTAATAATATAAAAGAGAAAGGGATAAAAAGAGGGAGCCAAGGGCAGAGGAGGCAAGGGAAGGAGAGAATGGAGGAAAATAACAATGATTTTTTTCTCAGAGGAAGAGAATATTAAAGCCTAAATACTATAAACACATATCGAAGAATACATCGTCTTACAGGCGAAACGATAAAGAGAGGTACTGAACCGACATTTTGTGATATTGCCGGCTTTATACAAAGTAAAGAGGGCCAGTGTCGTCCACAGCGTACTCTAATATTGGCGCCAAGAAATCTCTGAAAATAATTTCTTCAAAGAAACAACGTGAGCGAAATTTCGAGTGTTCATTACATTTAAATTAACGGTAAGTGAAATTAAGAAGAAAAATACTCAGGACCTATAAAATTAACATCGAACCTAATGTAATAAAACCAGAAGTTACAATTTTTATTATGCAATAATTGATGCTGTACTCTTAATCTTGTATCCTTTATTTTGCTCACGAATCTTGTGGGCTCATCACGTACTATTCTTCACCGCTGTAATTGTCCACAACGTCCGTACAATTAATTGACTCAATACCGTTAAGTTATAACTTCATAATAAGGTTGACTTTAATGCAAGGGTTGGGAATCGCTCAAAAGTGGAGTAAAACAGCGCTTCCTCGCACCGGTGACGAATGATGACTTCTTGACAGACCTTTGTGCACAGAATAACCTAAGATTTAATAATACGTTCTTTGACCATGATCCCAAATATAAATATACGTCTATACATGCACAGAGTGAATATTCGATGATCTACTCTGTAATAACAAGTGAAAATTTCACACCGTCAGAAATTTTGAATGTTCCAACTTTGGATTCTGCCCTCATTGAAAGTGTCCATGCTTTGGTATTATGCCAAATAAGAATGTCCGGTAAGAAAGAAAAATAATAATGATTATGCAGAAAAACTTAATATAGAAGCATTTCAAAATAAAAGCACAAAACAATTATTATTAAGGATTAAATGTCGTAATTAGTAGTGATTCATTAAGGGTTTAGGATAGTACTGATAGGGCGTGGGAGAATATAAAAGGCAACATCATTACAACCGCAAAAGAATCAATAGGCAAAAGAAGAGTTGAAGTCAATCCATCTCGTAAGTATAAAACACCATGGTTCACTGAGGATGTGAAAGAAACGGTGAAGAAGAAAAAGGAGGCATTCCTACGATATAAATCATCTCAAAATCTACATCATAAAAAATAAACAAACGAGAACGAAATATTGCAAATCTGAAAATTAGACAGCTGAAGGAAGCATATTGGGAAAAATTTACCAAGGATTTTGAGAGAGATCTGTGCGTCTCTCAAAGAAAAGTTTAGCCAATTCTGAGAAACTGAAAAGCAGAAATCACTTACTCCCTAAAGATTAATGTCATTAATGGTGAAGCATGTAAAGAATATCTTTATATAAGTTTGCGAAGTAATTAATACAATCCTGAAACCTGTATAGTAGACCTCAATTCAGAGGAAAATTACGAAAGATAATGTTCAAAAGACAATAAAAACTCTGAAAAACTTCAAGTAGTGATGGAATTAGAAATGACTTATTGAAATATGGAGGCATGAAGTTAGAAGACTAGCTAACTATATTATTTAATATCATTTTCAAGAGAGCCTAATACTATCGGAATGAAAAATTAGCACGACCATACCAACCTTTAATAAAGGAGCGAAGAATAACCCAGAAAACTATAGAGGTATTACTTTATTAAATACAAAAATTGTTTTTAAGGCTTGTATTAGAAAGAAATACACGCATTTCTGCAGATAAATGGAGAACATCAAGGACCTAACAGATGGCGTACTTGTGATCTGCCAAGTAGTCGAAGAGGCGAATGAATTTAACGTCCCAGCCTTCACGTGCTTAATAGATCTAAAGGCGTTCGGTCACGTAAGACTACAAGATGAGTTTAGAACTCTGAGAAGAATATTCCAAAAGTTCTCGTAAAGATAACTGAAGCCATGAATGCGAATATCATCACGTAAGTGCAAGTAGGTAATATAACAACAGACGAAATCATTTGTGCAGAGGGTGTTAGACAAGGTGATTCTATCTGTCCTGTGCTTTTTAATCTGGCTATGGGTAAGATACTAAACGTATAAAAGAAATGCCAGGATACGAAATGGGAAGCAAAAGAATCCCAACAGTGTGCTAAGCAGATGCTGCAGTACTATTGGCTAATTCAGAAGACAATTTAGAAAGACGTCTCCACATGCTATCGAACACTGCAGAACAGTACCACATGATTATATCAGCTGAGAAAAAAAATCAATGGTAATTTCAAAGGATCCCATAAGGTGTAAATTGATGGCATATAATAAAATAATACAAGCCATGAAAACCCCTCCCAAGGACTAGAAATTTCAAGCACGAGGGACACCGATAAAGAAGATAAACAACAAGTAATCAAAGAAGGTAGAATATCGGGATATCTAAAAGGTGTAACCTGAAGAAATAAGCATCTTAATACAGAAAGTAAAGTAAAAAAGCACAAAACCCTAGAAAGACGAGTCATGACTCATGGAGAAGAGATGCGGGCCGGCACTAGGAGAACAAAAGCTCTACTAAGAACTTCAGAGATCACTACTTTAAGAGCAACAACGGGGAAAAGAAGATGGGATAGAAAAAATTATCAAGATATAGGGAATGAATGTGCGGTGATGAGCAGAGTTAAATTCATAGGCCCAAGGAGGATAGGCTGGGAGGAACACGTTTCCAGGGCAGACAATAGGATCCATGTAGATATCGAATCAATCTATCTTTACAATCACATTGCAATCTGTCACAGAACCGATTCTAATAAAACGGGTCAGTTGGAAACGAAGACGAGGCACACCAGGAAAGTGAGTTTAAGTACGTCGTCAACGAAATGGAAAATTAATTTATTGTGGAAAGTTTGTTGTAAACGATACAGGATATGTTGCTCTGTTTTCCCACATATTCACCATCCGAACTGGGAAAATTCAGTAATACAAATATTGATTTTACAAATACTCTGTCGTCGAAGTCTGCTGTCTGAAAGAGAACCGGCTTCTGACAGCCACCTGCAACTCTTCGTCACTATGATAAGTTAAATTCTGGACGGGCAGGAATTCCTTGAAGAGGAAGAAAAGATGGCGAGTAGTCCATCACGTTCCAGCGGAACTGGCGCTGTGGTTTGTTGAGCCGAGCCGAGTGCAGCTGACCGTACGATTTGGCTCAAGAAATTCCTTTCCAGTGGCATTGCATGTATTGTGTGACGCAGAGTTGCAGGTGACTATCCTGGCGTCAAGCGTCCAGGAGGCAGGGATACAAATTTTAATCCCAAGTTACAACAAATGTCTCAGTTCTGGTGGTGATTATGTGGGAAAGTGTGCATCGTGTGCCGCATTTGCTAGAATAAAGTTTTTCCTTGATATTTGTCTTTTTGTTGACCACCTATGGTATCAAACTTTCGGAATGTGCCTTGTAGATTAAAAGTGAAGGTGGTGTATGATGCTAGGGGCATGGCGAAATTAGAGGCAGAATGAAGATGCAGGGGGATGAAAGATATATAGTTAGAGAAAAATGAATAATTTTAATTTTGGGTTCACAAATTACTGTCCTGGAACTAGAGTGGTCAATGAAACATTTTGACTAAAATCCAGGTTATGATAAATTTGATATCCAGGTCATGATATATTCTCAGGTCGTCTATGTGTCATTTGTCGTTGTAGGTGCCGCATAATAACAGTACCACTTTAGTATTGACAGATGGGTTTACTGTTAGTAAATTCTAAAGTGGTTTAACGTCACATTGCTATTCGTATCATAGAACACTTTAGTTCCAGGCTAGCCAATTGTGAAGATTTGTACATTAAAATTGATCCAAATATTGAAAATCAGTTACAATCTATTTATGAAATATTCAAAATGTTTCAAAAAATCACCGTGCAATGCATTAAAAAATTCTTTGAATCTTGTTTATTATTTTTTTGGTTAATTACTCCTCATTAGAAGAGCCAATACGAAGGAAATCGTATCCAATTTGTCTTCTGGATAATAAATAAAATCCCTTTATTTTCTTAAGCAGTGCAAAGTAATTTGGACAAATGATAAAAACCATGTGTTGAGGAACGAACTGGCGAGTGCTGAGGAATGCCTTCCCACAGGTGACAGCCGGCGGACCGCTGTGTGGACAAAAAACTGGGCGCCAAATCGCATCAACAGCTACTACAGCCAAGGCCTGTGGCTGCGAGGCGAGCTGCGTCCCAACGGTTTCACCCCGCATTACCTCGTGCTCATCGAATAGGATCCGCGACGCCAAGTCTTGTGAGTGGACCACAGCCCACCAGCACTCGTTACTCGCGTCCAAGCGGGCCAGCTCTCGCAGGCCGCGTGAACTGACACTGGCAGTAGCGAGGGCAACTTCGATCGATACATCAACAGAAGGTTTTCGATGCCGACCAAACCGTCGATGTTTTAAACATCGATTTTTTGTCCATGTTTTAAATATGATGAAATATATCGAAGTATAATATCCTGTTTTGAATGTGATACACAACAAGTCAATATTATTTAAATGTATATTTTGCCATAAATTGGACTCTTATTGAACATGAGTGCATGAAATATAAATTCGTTCAGTTGAAAATGTTATTCATAAAAATATTATTTACATAAAGTAGTACAAAAACATAAGTTTTTTCAGATTTGATATAAAATAAGGAACCAAACAATTAATGTAAAATAATTATTTTTTTAAATGTCTCCAGAAGAGAAGAAACTCCCCAAAACATA